TGAAGAAAACGGAAAAATAATCTCTTGGCTTCGCCTTTGTTTGACAGAGCGTAAAAAATGCTGGTGAAAAACGTCAAAGTATAAGAAGCTTCGGTATATTATAGAGAGGATGTACTTCGACATAGCATATAGATGCTATACATTTTTCCATCGTGTGTTGCTCGATGCTTCGAGAACATTGACTTTCGATATCAAATTATCGAATTAGTGATTATTAAAATTATATAAATAATAATGGAACGAGTTATATTGCGAGTTGCAAGATTGAATTTTGCTTGAAAGTTTTGAATTATAAGATTATTAAAGTGTAAATCGGCGAGAAGAGCATTGTCAATTTATTCTGGTCAGTGGATTATTACGTGACGAAAGATCTCGTAAGAAAATAGATACGAAATTTAATCGCACGATTGAGCATAATAATTCGTAAAGAGCATTATTCCATTCGAGTATATTTGAAAATTCTCACATTTATATATAAACGAGGGCGCAGTGTATTAAAGTACTATTTGCAAAAATGAGGAAAGGGAAAACGGCGTAAAAAATAATTACTTGGAAAAACGAATCCAGAGATAAAAGAGGTATTCAGGGAACAAATGTTGAATTCATACACACTTTTTAACCTCAGCCACTGGTCCTTTGTATGCTCATTTATCGTGGTTGGAAAAAACGAGAGGGAGAGAATCCGGCTTTGCTCATTCCGCTATGAGAATCCTTTTGACGTGGCGTGAGGCAAAAGGTATGGGGGAATTATTCGAAAAGTCATAAAAATGGAAGAGAAAAGACGAGTCTTGATACCTTCTTATCGAGAACAGATAACACACATTAATATTGTATTGCGATTTACATTAGTTAATGTATAAGTTAAAATGAAGAGGACGAAGGATTCACGATATTTGAAATAAAGATAAAAGATTGGCGATGCACAAGAGAAGCAAAGAGAGAGATAGTTAAAATAGAAAAACTTTAAGGTGTTCGAAGAAGATGGATGATAAGTAAAGGAACAAGCCAGGCACTAGATAACTCAGATTGCCCTCCATCAAACGTTGCGAGTTTACTCCGCCTCTGCTTTCTAGACTTTCATCCCTTAAGGATTCTTCGTTATTCCCCACTTGCCATTACCTGTGATGTAGTGCGTGAAACGCTCCATCTAACTTTTACGCAGGCTTTCACTGTCTCCTTACGATTTGCTCGAGCAAGTAAGAGAGTCTCGAGCAGAACATTTAGGTATGTACAGGATATTCTATCTCTTTAAAAACTCTCACAGATAAATACGAAGATATATCTTATGTACTATTTTGTATTATTCTTATGCATTCTTGTGCATTTGCGAAATGCATCTGGAATAATTTGGCACTTGATAATACTTCATGGATATACAACACGTATTTTATATGTATCTATCTTTTACTTATTTCGCTTTATTTTCATTCTTGTTCATCGAAATTAATCCAGCAGATTTTGTTGAACCATGAAACGAAGAATAGCATAGAAATAAAACGAGCAGGAATTTCGTTAAATTTGTCTATTTCGAAAAATTTCCTACTCTGCACTGGATTATCATCGTGCGAACGATCCAAAATTCTTTCCTCTCCCCATTTTATTCCTCTTCGATCCTCGTTTTTTCGTATTCGCAAAGCTGTTAACATCGAAACCCTTTCGTCGACTGTGGTTTCTTTCAAGACAGAACTCTTTACCTCCGTGCACTCAAGGAGTGTGAGTTTGCCTTGATGACTTGCACGAGGAAAACGCCTCTCTTTGCCACCCGAGGAAAGTGCACTGTGCATTATCAGCCGATTTGCCTCGTCCTCTCGCGGAACGAGATGTGAATGGAAACGAAAAATTCCTACGGTCTTTGGTGTACGATTCGAGTGCACTTCGAAAAGATCAAAGCCCTCGAGATCGTAGAGAATTTGGCGCGAAAACAGCGTCGATCGTTGTGTGAAATTTATCGGATTTCAGGGAAATAAGTTTCGCAGCAATCGCGTATTTAATTTCATATTTAAATTATTCGAGCATCGTTTTATATTCGATGCTGAAGATTCGTTTGTGATCGTTTCTCTCGTTCCTTTGAACTTTGTTAATTGGAATTTGTTGTTTCTTTCATTTCATTGTCCCTGATGAATTTAATCGTCGGATTTAAACGCGAAATATAAAAATTTCAGGTTTTTTTGAAACTTTTTCCCACGTTATTCACGAAAATTGACGTAATTTTAAATTATTCGTTTTCAAGGAATGTAATTTCTTTCATTCAATTATAAGTGAAATAAAGGAAACGCGAAATTGGCAAATCTCAAACGAAAAAACAAAGTCAAAAATAAATTAAACAAATACAGGGAATATAAAGGAAAAATACAATATAATACCTGTACCCGATGATATTTTTATTTTGTATTATTTTTGCGTTGGCCTTTCACGAGATACGAAACAAAATAGAAATATATATCCTGTCATCGCATTGAATAAAAAGTTACAAGCAAATAAAATGGAGTGCAAATACGGTATTTTTATATTATGTCCATATACAAATATATCATCACGGTATTAAAATATGCGGCATTAAAGCGAAATAAAATTCGTGGCGTTAAGATAAACATGTGGCAAGAACGTGGTACAAACATTAAAATATTAAAATAAACGGGGAAATATTAAAGCGAGCAAGAGAAAGTTTTCAAGACGATGATATAACATTTAAAAGAGAAAAGGAATTTTAATTCATAAGCGTGTCAGAAGATGCTTCGCACTGTTGAATCTCTATAGAGAAGAGGATTTCTGTTTGAAGTGCAAAATCGGTCGGTATTAACTTGATCGGTATTCATTAACTACGCACACACACACACACACACACACATACGGATAAATCAATATTTTCAAACACCGGTACAGACGGTTAATGGATTTATCTGGTGGAAATCGATTAGCATATACCGCGTGTTCTGATGAAACACAGGAGATCCTCCTCTGCGCGTAATACGGGTCGGCCTATTATAACATCGGTATTCCAAATTTACTTAATCCCATAGATCCGATTAATGAGTAAAAATCAGAGGAAATATTGGATGGACTATGCGAGTCGTGCTATAACTAACGTGCATATCGTATATATATCTAATAATGGATTATCAATTCGATGGTTTATTATTAAATACCGATCAAATATTTTCACCATAGGAATATTCGGCTATTTTATCATTGAATTAAACACCCAATCCCTTTTCGCAAATGGGATGTGCATAATTGATTGAATAAATTATATCGATATGTGAGTGCATGTATGTATCACTGTATCTTCTAATATCCTTTTTTTAAATTATTCTTATCGTGGAATTTATCGTGGTGGTAAATTTTAAAATCTTATTTCAGGAATGAATCATTCGAACGATTTACTTATTTTACTTTTGAAAATGAAATGAAAATATATATATAAGAATAGATATTTAATAGTAGCAATGAAATCGAACAATAAGTACAAATGAAAAAAAAAGAATATTAAAGTAATTCATGTTTCAAATATTATTATTATAAAATCACAATATTCATTCATCGAAAAGTTGATCGTGATAGAGAGGATTTTGTTTGATTCCAAATGATCGAGGGAATTCTTATTTTTAATATCCTTCCTTTTGTCTCATACTCTCGTACAATTTTATTGGAATATTGGAATCGCGATAACCAGTTATGAGATTGACTGTAAAATTCAATGGAGAAACGAGGGTGCTAGCTAAGATTTATACGTATTTTTGCCGAAGAAATGGACATTTGCCAGACGATCGACTAATTTAGATCAAGGTTTTGGAAGCGATACTCCAACCCTCTCGTAAAATTTCATGCGCACAGATGCGACAAATATTTGTGACACACGTACAAGTAAATTTGTCAATATTATGCTAAATTAATACACAAAACTAATATACAAGATGAAAATTGGGGATCTATTGCCGAGTATGATCCAACTGTGTCGTTTAAATACACAAGAATTCGAGATTAGACGGTAGAATATCAACGGTAATACGTTGATTAAAGTTGCATGCAAATGTCAATTAATGTTTATCAATTCCTGGTATTAAATTTGGAAAATATTTTAAAAGACATATTTTAAAAAAATAAAAGAATACGAAATGATTCTTGTGGAATCGAAGCAAATAAAAATCGAATCAGGTGCATAGATATCGATGTGATTGAATCAAACTCACTTGTTAATTTACATTTACATTTACGGATGGTGAGAACGCGTTTAAGCGGATCGAATCGAGATAAGTGGGATGTGGGTTTGTGATGGATAGATACGATAGAATAAAATAAAAAAGGAACAAAATATTTTATTATTTATCACGAGTTTATAATAAATAAACAAAACTTGTATATAACAATATTTAAAATCTTCGATTATTATATATATCCAATTTAATTTAATTATAATTTAATAAATTGTAATACAAGTATTATTTTTGTATACTTTTAAGAGAAGAAAATTATTATGATTGATGATATACCGAAAATAAAAACTAGAATAGAATATTAGAATGAATAAAAACTTCAAAGCACTTTTGCACGTTGACTCAAAAATTAATTTCACAGAATCCTTCATTCTAATTTTACATTTTCATTCTTCACACTTGAGGAATCTGGAAGATTAAAATTCGTTTCACCGTCATAAAATTTTTATTCTTTTTTTTTCTTTTTTTTTCTTTCCATTCTAACAGAATATATTTTTGTTCGCAGGTTCGCACGTTAAAATTCTCGATGCGTTCGATCGATTGTAAAGGAACAGAGAAGAGAGAGATCGAAAGAAATCGCGGGTAGACAGAGTGGACAGAGCGAAAGAAACGGAGATGTCGTAATTTAGGTCGAGATAAGAAACGTGCCGGGTGTTTTCTTGGTTATCCGCAGTTTTCATTTATACCGTGGAACGAGCCGGACAGATTAAATATTGTTCGGAAAAGAATGGCCCCGACAGAATCGAAAACAATACGAAAGTCTGTCGATAGAGCGAGTGATACCACCGGCTTCTAAAAAGAACCTTTCTTTCCTACCTTTCTTTCGCTCTCGACATGCGCTTTCTTTCCGCTCTGTCCAAGTTTAAACTTGGAACGATATTGTGCTGCCACTTGTGTATCGGTACGTATTGTTGTTTATACAGTGAATTTCGTACACGATGGTTTAAGTACAGATTGAATCTTGGGGAAACTAGTTATTGGAAAGAGAAATGGTATTTTATGAAGGGTCCTCGAAAATTGAAGAATAATAGCGAAGACAAGCGTCTTGTTTAATTTTCATTATGAGGATGAAATTAATTAGATTTTAATGCGAATCTATCGACAAATTCGTATAAACAAGCCAGCTAATACTCTTCTCATTTCGATTCTCAATTCATATGAGAGAATTTTATATTAAAATATATAATATCAATAATGTATCAAATATTTGCAAGTGGAATAATTAGTTAATGCGTATTGTTTTCTGTCAAAAATATATCTCCATTACTATTAAAATTTTGTTCATATAAATGTAACATTAAAGCAACTAATAAAATGTGCAAAATGTGGTGTACATTTTGGTAAGGAATATTTCGTTTCGTTTAAACAAAAATTAAAAATGCTTTCTTCGTTGAGTTGTTTTTCATCGAAAACTTTTCAATTATTTTAATAATATAATTTTATTGAAAAAAGATTGAACACTGAACACATAACACAGAAGAGTACAATTAATTTTTTTCTAACAATATATAAATTTAATTAATTTCTAGGCAGGAAAACTAGGCAGTTTTTGAAATGGATACCGTTCTTGAATACCATTCTCTTTCTTTATACCATAAGAAATGAATTTCGTGTTCGTAGCACACGTATTTTTCAACTAATTCTAATAAGCGCTTTGTCCACGCTTGTCCCTTTGATCCACGGCTGAGATTTCCTCTTTTTTTTCATTCTTTTCTTGAAAGGTTAAGAGATTATAACAAAGGGCTTTCACTGCGCTGAAGATTCTCTAAAAAAGGATTGTGCGGGACTTGGAAACAATACGTTTTTAAACAAATAATCTCGCTACTTACGTGAACACGGTTTCTAACCGGAAATATTAGACTTACCTGTAACAAAAAGAAATATGGGACAATTAATAAATAAAGAGCGCAAATGTAAGTTGAAATTTTATATTTTATAGAAATTGAACAAATTTTATGATTAGATTCCCCCATTTAATCTTGGGATGGATATAAAAGATGGATATTAGAAGAAATTGAGGGAAAAACTGGGTCAGAATGTACGAGAAACGTTTGTCAAGGATTTCATTTGTCCCTCTAGCAGGCTTTAATAGTTAGAATTGAAAAACCAAGCAGACAGGAAGCATTTCGCAATTTCCTACTTCTTTCTTTTCTTAACCATCGTAACAATTAGCCGGATGCGAAAATATAGAAAATGCAATTTTCTATTTTAACAATTTTTTCTTTAGATGCAATATTATATTTCGTGTTATTTAATAATACCTACTATGTGATGTATTAAAATAAAACAGTCGATTTTCTGTTCGAGGAGAACAGAAAAATATTTTGAGATCCTTAATTCTTCTTCTAAAATGAATTAAAACTTTTTTAAAGAGAAATATTACAAATATCGTGAATTATAATATCTAATTTTTAATTACATTTCAGAATAAATACTAACTCGATTGAATCGTGACAAAATTGAATTATTTGAGCGACGAGAATTATTTTTCTTATTGACTCTTCAATTTAAACTCTTCGTTAAAAGAATACATTGTAATACTTTTCACGATATATTCGGCAGAACGTCAACAGGGCGATACCATTTAATCAAAATTAATCGCCTGTATATCGTACAAGCTGTTACATTAACGCAAATGGGAGAATGGACAGGGAGAGTCGGTAAATTGGATCGGGATTTGAATTTATTTCCCGTCGCATCATTTTCATCGTTATTATCATCGAGCTGGAATTTCGATATTAAAAGGAATATCGCACGCTGGAGAAATCGTAGAATAATTTAATCTTCGACAACTTGATTATCCTTGGCCAATTTGTCAATTAGACCACTACTCAATCGACGAAACCCTTCTTTCGACTGTTGAAGAGACACGGATCGATCGTGAAATCTATTTCGCGGAACAATGCATAGGAATAAATCGGTTTAGAAAGAGATGGTGGGAATAATTGAGGAATGTGGCAGAGATCGAAGGGGTGTGGCACACCCTCCGTGTCTTTGTCATTCGAGAGTTTCTCGAGCCACTCGAAGCGTTAGCCGATCCCGTGTCAAGAGGATTACACCTGATTCCTTTCTTGCGCGGATACGCTCAATTTTTCTGTCGCGATCTCTTTCATCTCTCTCCCAGTGTCGAGAGTTTCTCGCGACAAGTGGAGGGCCGATAGCTTATTATTGAGGGAGCCAAGGTGACTGGGTTCTTTGATTTTTTATTCTTTTAAAAGGAGATTTTTAAAAGGAGTTTAACTCGAAGATAGAGAGAAGGTAGGTGAGAAATATTTGCCAATTGATCTAACATAATGATTAATTTGTTGCAGGTGGTGCAACACGAAGATTTTTCATCCTATAACGATCACGACGAACTATGGGCATATGGAAAACTTTTGCATGCGTCTTTACATCAAGAAAATTGACATTCATCTAGCGTTAATGATCCATTTAATCTGGATTAAGTGGATGCAATTGTTACTCGCTTCGAAGGTAAACCAATTAATAGAAATCCCATATCGATCCTCTCGATAACGAAGAATTTATTTTCACAAGATGAACTTAAAGTGGTTTTAAAAATAGTTTTTTGTATCGTACAGTGGTTGCTTTCTTAAAAGCAGAAACCTCGACTGTAAATGGGAAAATTGCAGATCAATCGATATTATTTACCGTGTTTAACTAAATTCAGCGCTCGAAAATTTGTTATTCTTAACGAATGCGAGTCGAACACTGCAGAGCTACACAATCGAAGAGTAACTTTAATCAAATTACAAACTTCCAACATCGACAACTTCCGCTTCGGAATCTCTTTATCGCTTGAACAGATGCAACCGTGTTCCATTTTCGGTTTTCATCCCGCTCTACTACCTTCGTGGAATATTCAGCCTCGATGTCACGCGGATTACAGGCGGCGCCTGTGTGCAGTGAACAGCTTCTCAGAATTCGAAAGAGTAGAATCTACCGCGACAAGTGCATCGAGTTTCCAGATGCTTTTCTCGAGGAGTTATTTATAAACAAGGTACGCAAAGAAATCTACGAAAAATCATCGGACAACTTTCAATTCAAAGTCTTTGATAGCGTGTTACAGATATTAGAATTTACCCGTGGAAGTAAAAAAACGAGGAGAATAAGGGTCGAATAAATACGTGTTCTCTCGAGATATTCTCGATGCCATCATTTTATTAGATTATTAGAACACTGAAAATAGGACAAAGCGTGTTTTAATGAATACGATGACCAAAATGGAGGAGATATGGACCGGATATCGGTCGGCACGGGATCCAAGCAGAAAGTCGATTGATCTACATTTCGGATATCAGCTCACGTATTATCATAAAAGAATGGCGGTTGGTTTAGCTTCCCCGGGGAACATTATCGGCCACCTGCTGTTTCTCCGAGGACGACGTGATTCGGGAACCTACGTTTTATCCGTTTCGTCGATTCCGACACAGGGAAAGGATTGTCGAACAGATCAAAAGGTTTTCAACTTGTTTGGAAATGTTCGAATATAGGATAGGATTATTCGTTACACGTGGCGAGAATGCTTCAAGTAGTGTTCAAGTTTGGAAATCCGTAAAATCATTTTTCTATAATGAAATCTACCAAAGTGATTTTGAAATACTATAGTTTTAATTAATTTGGATCATTAATGTTAATCGTCCAAGTTAATGTTTCCTGTCTTTTGTTCGAGTTATTCAATTACTCGTTTATTTTAGCTTCTTAATTAACCTATTATAAGCTCATTCGTTTCTTAATTGCTTTATTATACGTATTATCCCTAATTTCTAAGTAATATTATATTTTCCTTTCCATTTGTTTTTACTTTGGACGATAATGGATTTATTCCATTAGTGAATATTCGGATGATATTTTCTTAATTAATTATCCTAACTTATCGTTATATGTTTCATGAAAATGAAAAATCTACTTCGATAGAATTCTATTATTAGAAGAAGAAGGAACAGCTCGGTGTAATTTTATACCATATTTTCCACTGAACCCTAATTATCTTCGTTACCCACTAATCGTCAAGTAGAAATAGAATTCGATCGGTGACTAACTAAAATTCTCCATAAATAAAATCCCAGATGAATGGAGTTCGATTTAGAACAAAAAGAGGACAACGATGATGAAATCGAACGCATTTCCAATACTCGAGACATTTATTTTTTCCTTCTTTTTTCTATTTCTCTCATTCGCGATCGACAGGAAATTTACCACCACGGCCGATTCCATTTATTTTCCAAGCGTGCATAACGCGTGCCCCGCATTCGCGTCACCGTCGATCGAAAAGCCGTAAAGATAGGCGGGTTATGGCCGCCAACCCTTTTTTCACAGCGCTCCATCGGCCTCGAAGCCATTGCGATAAGACTCTTCTTGCGTTTCAACGGAACTTTGTGCGCGGCGAACGTCTCCCGCGGCCATTCTGAATTTTTCACGCGGTTACACGGATGATTTAGCTTCACCCGGGTGAATCACGAGTTTCAATCGGGTCAAAAGGAAGATTGAGGAACACGTTGGAACGTAGAATGGGTCAGAGTGACTCGCTTTCTCTGTATAAATTTGCACGGGGGAAATTGGAAGGAAGCTTTTTTTGAATTTTTTAACGGGTTAATTTTCCACTGTTGAAAAGTTGAAAATTATTGTTTGTGCATTTGATGGTATTTTGAACATGCGCGTTCTCGAAAGGAAAATGTGAACACGTAGAATGATTTGAATGGATTATTATTATTATTCGTGGAATTTAAAAATTCCGGGAAAAATTGAGCCGTGACGATGAGCTTTTGAATAATGTAACATATCGATAATGTAATGAGAATTGGTAATTAGTACGCTACTAATGGTTCTTCCTTGCTTTGAAGGATTCGAATAAATAATGCACGCTGAAAGAGAGATTCGTGTTTAAAAGCTGATCACGTAATGACATGTAAATGTTGAAGGATTTTGCGACTGCAAATGGACGCTACATTAAATGTGTCTATCGTGACCTAAATTCGTTGAATTCGCGCACAGGTGTTTTAACCGTGCATTATTCTTTATTCCGATATTGATTTATCCATAGATTTATATAATAATCACAAAACGCAATAAGTTGTAGAAGAAAAATTAAAACTTGACTTAATTTAAAATAATATCTTAAAGAATGTTTAAATATAAATAAATAAAATGGAAAAAATTTAAGAAGAGGATAGATCGAGAGCAAGAAGAAGAAGAAGAAGAAGATATTGATTTTTGAAATGGATATTGTACATCGAAATTAATCCTCTTACCCTCTGATTGGTGATAGCATTTGAATCGGAAATGGAGAACGTATCGACGATGGAATCGAATCGTACGAGTTTCTTCGGGTGGTGAGCCTTCTTCGAGCGCGGACAGAGCGAGCACATGGCTGAATCAGTCGGTGTCGTCGGGGGCATATTCGCGATTCTTTACGGTTTTTTCACTATTTTTTCCTTTTTCTTTCTCTTCTTCCTTTCCTTTTTCTTTTTTCGTTCACTTTTGCGTTTCGAGCAATTTATTCACTGTTACTCGAGTCACGAGTCCTTACATCATTGTCTAAAGTCTAAACCATAAATAGAGCCTCGACGAAACACAAGCTTGTGTCTATACACCTTTCGATCGATTTGGACAAATTTTCTCGTGTACTACAAAAGAACGATGGTCGATGCGAAGCTTGTCAAACCGCGCGGTATAAAGCTTATTATTGTACGGGCAGTGATTGTTTTTATTGTCTGGTGCTCATCGTCCTTATCCTCGATAGATTTCTCCTCGCAAGACTTTTATATTAGGATATTATTCGTTTTCACGAGGATTGATGCGTAAATTAATTATCTTGATGCGATCTCCTTCCCTCACGATCTATATTTGGATGGTTAATAAATTAATCTAACGAACCACCTATTGAGTAATCCTAATTGTACCTATTAATAAAACTCGAGCTCGATATTGAAACGATACTTTAGAAAGTGTCTATCTGTCTATTCTATTCGAATGTTCTTTTGCATTATATTATAACAAATGGTGGAAATTCGTATTAAA